TGACATTGTAAGGATGTAGAATCTGCAGAGATTGGGCTTACATTTCTGAACGAATAGAAATCTCATATTCTACATATAACCTGGCATTATGAAGATGTTACTCCCTATAGGCTACTGTAAACATAAAACCTATTTAGACTGAAAATATTATCAGATATTAGTTATTAATACAGTGTGGTTGGCCAGTCATAATACAATTTAATTACGATAAAATAGATTACGAAATGGAATTAAATGTAGATTTAAGTCGTATTGTTTACGCTCAGCCAATCGTATGTTGCTGTTTGCTTAAAAATACATTCAAATTTAGATCATATTATTTGCTTTTGAATTAGATTCAGTTCGTTTAGAATAAATTGCGTGCTGAAAGATGACGCCACGCACATCTTTACTGTGCACCAGTTAATATAAAACAGTTTCAGCGGTGATTTATTAGCAAGCACTATTGCATTAGGTAGTTCTCTAATCTAAAGACCAAAACTTGTGAAGACGATCTGGGATTTTGTGTATATTCGTGCAGATTGCAAGTTAGTAAAAATCCAAATGTGTTATTCAATTGACACTAGAACTTAGATGAACTCTGATCTAAGATAACTGTTGACTCATTTGTTTTTGTGTATATTACTTTTCTGATGCCAGTTTGTGACAGTTTCCTACATGTTATATTTTATCATTATTTAGCAAGTCGTTCAAACAAAGTATAAACTGGGACATAATACCATGAATTGACAAGATTCGAGTGAATTTAAAGTGTTTAAACTAGTTTTCTGTTAATTCTGTAAATGCTTCTAAATTGTCTTCATCGGTGTTTTTTTTACAGACGTCCTTAGTTCAAGACTGCTCCTCTCGGTTATATATTGTAAATTCCCCTTTATTTAGCCCTGTATAAGTAAAACCAGAATGGAACTATTGTCACTGTTGGTACTAGCTATCATTACTCCTCAATCTAAATCTGATTCATCGTATGGAAGCGTCATGAAGTTACGGGACGATCTTTTGGCCAACTACAGTCACACTTTAAGACCACTTAAAAATCAGTCAGAAGCGATTGACGTTGAATTATTGTTATTAGTGGATGGAGTAACCGAAGTGAACGACATCTCGCAAACAGTAACTTTAAATTTTGTTCTAAAGGTAAATTGGACTGATGAATTTCTTCAATGGGATAAAGATGAATACGGGATAGAGTTCATCAACTTGCCCAACTCTGATAAATGGACGCCAAGGTTAATGGTTTTAAACTCCATTCATAAAAGAGCCATCTTTTCAGATGATCAGCATCCTTACATGATTAGCTATAATGGTCAAATAAATTGGACTCCTGCATCCGTCTTTACATTTTATTGTCAGTTAGATATGACTTATTTTCCATTCGATTCCCAAACCTGCACTATATTTATCATGGCTATAGATTACAGTATGCAACAACTCAACATATATTTTGAAGAGGGACCGAGATTTACAAGTAAGCAAGAAAACGGAGAATGGGATGTGATCGATTTAGAGTTACAAGAAACTCCACAGAAGGATCTCACAGAACGACCTGAACATAAAGTTCTATTAAAGTTAAAGCGCAGATCAGCTTTTATTCTCTTGAATGTATATTTGCCAGTAATAGTCCTCTCTTTTTTAAATCTGGCAGTATTTGTAGTGCCCGCGGAGTCTGGTGAGAAATTGAGCTATGTTTTAACAGTACTATTGTCCTTAGCTGTATTTATTAGTGTCGTGAGTGGTATGTTACCTACAACATCTACTAATATACCAATAATTACCATCTACTTATCACTGCAGCTTCTAATAAGTACCGTATCGGTACTTTTAACAGTATACGTCATCAGAATACACCATAGATCTGCAGACAAACCGATTCCATCACACCTGCAATTCCTGACACGAATCATGAAGAAGAAAGCCAATAATAAAGTTGATCTTGGTAGTTCTGACGACAGGATCAAAAATTGGAATATCGTGGCATTATCAGTTGATAAGTTGTGTTTATACATTTTTACAACCATTGTACTTTCTTCATGTTGTGCGTTGCTATTTATCATAGCAAAAGACGAATATTAGCAATTTAGCAAATATTCAACATCTGAAGACCAAAGAATGTTGTCCAGTAAAATATCAAACTATATGCAGTTACATATACATGTACATCGTTTCATGTTGCTATTACGGCAGAGTACATCGTATTTTCCGTGTTTTTTTTTTTGTTGTTGTATATTTTGACATTTCTGGAAAATCGTGGATTTTGTCTTATTGTATTGGATATACCATCCAAGACCCCAGAATAAGAAGAGAACAATCGTCGTGAAAGATATTGGCCAGCTAGTTACAAAATGAAAACAGGCTGAGACCCTGCCTATGCCTAAAGAATCTCAAAGCAGCTGGCATTTGAAACTCCCATTATCGTCTCGCTTTGTATAAGCGAGAGATACTCTCTTATAAAAGCACTGGCTTAGGTCACAAGTAGAGATTATGGATTTCAGCTTTCTTGAAGAGAACAATCGTCGTGAAAGATATTGGCCAGATCACAAAGCAGCTGGTATTTGAAACTGCCATTATCGTATCGCTTTGTATAAGCGAGAGATACTCTCTTATAGAAGCACTGGCCTAGGTCACAAGTAGAGATTATGGATTTCAGCTTTTTGTTGCATATGAACTGTAGTTTACGTTCTCTTATCAAGTGTCTTTTTGTCCATTTTGTAATGTGTTCTGATAATCTTTTTGAAAACAAGTCTAGTTGTGAAACCGTATAACATATTGTAGGTTATGGGGAGCTCTGTCTTGTTTGATCGTTAGTCCAGTCCATTTTATCATTTAATTTAGGGTGTTTGTTCCCAAGGGGGTAAATTTGAAATAATTGGAGAGTAATAAAGCGGTGTACAGTCTAGTATACACTGTTTGACAATTATAATTGAAGTCGTTCTATTCAGTCCGACTAATTTCTCTGACATGTAAAAGATTGCAGGGAAAACTTAAGAGAAAATCTCAGAATTTTGAGGATTTATAGAGGTAATGCAATCGATCAAGGATTCTGAAAATGTAATAGAAAGAAAAAGGTTGAAAACCCCTGCTCTAAGTTAGGTTTCAGATTGTTCAGGTATAAAACAAATAATGAAATCTTTTGCTTATGTTGAATCTTTCTGTTGTATGATGACTCAAAAATGCAACGAAATCAGCACTCTATAGTTTCTACATAATCAACACCTTTGGCATCAATGCACTTGGTTCAATGGTGTTCAAGCATTGTTATCGCGTTGCTGAAAAAGCTGATTAGTAGGAACTACACCCAATCTAGAAATATGAATTAAAATATCCTTATTGTCCATGGTAGATTGTCAAGATTGATTTTAAACTTCTTCTAGAAGTATTTTTTTCAACATGCCATATTTCATAATATCCATCTTCTTATGATATTGTATATTATACACTGTGTTTTGTTTGTTTTTATATTTATTCTGAAACAAAGATCTCAAGGGGACTTTCTCTTCTGCTAAATTCAGATTATCTACAGTTTAAAATGTAAAGAACCCGCATTGGCGAACATCTAATTATTAATACACATTTTGTTTATAAGAACTTAAAACTTAAGCCCTGTGCCCGTGCTTACGTAACATTTTCATTACTCCCAATCTAATTAAAATTTAATTACCATTTCGTATCTTTTTTGTTTGCTGATACTTTTAGTCTACATTGAAATCTAGAATGTTTTCTACCAATGCTTTTCTCAATGATGTTATTTTAACCAATCAAAGCGTCATGTAAAATTCATTTCTTGATAAAAAAAAATAAGGAATGTCGAAACCCAAAGAGGTTCTCAGATGGCTCTATTCAAGGTTTCGATATTCCATAATTTCTTTTTTTTTTATCAAGAAACGGGTTAAAAATACTATTTAGTAGAAAACCCCAGGCCATAGAATATGTCAGAATTCCACAACCAAACTTTTTTTTTTTTATTTATTTCTTCTTTTTTACTTTTGAAAATCTAAAAACAAGTCTGGCGTGTTTTATCAAATGTCCATTAGTTTAAATAGCATCTACATGTATATATAAATAGGATCTATCAATATTTGTCTGTTTGTCCCATTAGTTGTATTTGTGAATAAATATTGTTGAAATTAAAATCTTTTCTTATTTCATAAATTATATAATGGAATCTATATTTGTATGTGATATTTGTAATACAACGCCCAGGCACATTAGGGCCTCGGTTCATTGTACCACTTTTCCATGGAGCAGTTTCGTCCGAATTTCGAATTATATATAAATGGGATCGAATTTCAAAACCTCTATTTGAACGGGTCGGTGCCCTTAAAATTTGATTTGTTGGCTCTGTACGTGTCATCATAGCTACGATTGGACAAACATGATAAAACAAATACAGCATTACCGATTAGTCCTGAACTGACTTAAAAACCAGTCAATGATTGCTCTTGACACTGATTGGTGATCATTTGTCTAATCAGTCGGCACATTCTAAGAGTCGCGTTCTGTTCGAAATTAATATGAGAACAATCAACAATTTTAGAGAAAAAAGTATTTGAATGCAGATCTGAAATTTTTCTGTAGTATAGAATATGGAAAAGCTTTATTGCTTCCTAAACTCTGGAGTTTGGTGACTTCTGGTTTATGATTTATACGTCAAAATGTTCGTTATAGATTCCAACCTATGCGAAAGATAGTATTTGTAAAACTGTCGCAAAACGTATCGAATTAATATCTGTTTGGCTTAGGTGGAAATATTATCCAGACTGAACTTTGACACTACCACACGTTACACTACCATCCAGACAACACCACAGCGTTACTGTTAATTTGTAAAGGCAGAAGACGGGTAACGTTAGGTGGAAGTGGATAGCCTAAGTAACATGAATTGGTAAAGTTGTTTTAATATCTTTAAAATTTGGCTAC